CCTGAATTGGATCTGCAGAGGAATGCACCAAGAGCACTGCGGAATGTGTAATCCTATGTATTGCTTCCTTCACTTTCTGAGAATAGGATCCAGCTATTCCAGGTCTTGAACCCATATGTAAACTGCTCTTGCAAACATGGAATGTGTAACAGTTGCTTGAAAAGCCAACAGCTGAAGCTTCAGAGTCTTTGCAAAGCATTGTCTCTACATGTGGGTCACAGATGCCCCACGTCTCACCTTCTCCATTGACTGGAATAATCTCTGTAGAGGTAGGTGCTGCCACTGGGGTGTCCTGTAGTGGCCCCTGGTCCAAAGCTCCTGGAGGAGCATACACAGCTTGTCAGCAAACTACTTTCCTTAAAAAGAAGGGAAAGGGAACTGCAGAAGGTTTTTCATCCACTTGGGGAAATATCGCTCTAGTTCTTGAGTGAGATACAGCATGTGTGCCCTCTGTCTCTGGTTTCTTACCGCCAGTGATCTGAAAGGACCATCAGCATCAGAAAGCAAACCAGGAAACAATTTTGGTTGAAAAAGGTCTGATAACTTTGGGAGTTGTCATAGCCAAGCCTCCCTCACATAATTCCCCTTCCTTCCTGTGCTCGGGGTATCTGAACTGCTGGAGGTGAACTAGGAGGGCACTTAAGAACTCATTCTGTTGTGGGCTTCTCTGTGTGCTGGTTGACGGTTGGCAGCTTTAAGTGGCAGTGGCTGCTCTCCCTTGAGCAGCGGAGGCTGGTGTGCCACCTTCCCACATTCGCCTCTCCTGCCCTCCCTGCTAGGCCTTGAGACAGACCATGAAATCTGTTTGTTAGAAGAACTCGTGGAAGAGGAGGGGGGGGGGGGGAAGAAGCAGTGCTTGCAGTGAGGCTGCCCTTAGAATGGCTGTAGCTGTGTCTTGTTGCGCCCGTGTGGGGGTTCTTGGAGGGGCAGAGTGACTTCCTGTCTGATCCCTACCTTAGCATCGAGAGCTCCAGCTCCAATTTCTTTGAGGTTCAGGCTTGGATGCACTGTAGAAATTCGGAGTATGTCCTATTCCTGCTTAAGTCTGGCCTCGACCCAGTCCTTAGCTGCCATGCTTTTGTCCTGAGAGCCTTGTGAGCTTTAACACTGCTGGTTAAAGAAGCTGCTCCATCTCCATCTTGCTCCTACTGATGGTGAAGGAAAGAGTCCAGCTCCTGTCTGGCTGCCCTACAAGGAGAGGTGGTGGCCCCATCTTTCTCCAGCAGCCTGTGCTGCAGAAGATTGACCATTGCCTGGCACATGACCTTCACTGCTGAGAAGACAGGACATGCCTGGCAACCCGAACCCTAACCCTAACATAACGGATTTTTGTGGAACTACAAGGGGGATGCTGTGAAGAGGAAGGGCTGAAACAGCCTCGTTGTCTAACCGAAGTTGTGTGAGCAGAGTTCTGCTTGTGCTTCTCTGGATCCAGTCCATTACATTTTGATGCCAGTGTTAACATGCTAGGAGCCAAATGCTGCCAAATACCATTTTTTGGCAGACACTACTCCAATATACCGATACATTTAACCCATAGTTATAAAAGGTCTGCTGGTAAATTTTCAAAGCCAAGAGGGAGGACCCTGTTTCCTGGTCTAAGAATAATGCCTGAGTAAATCTGGGCATCCCTAACAGAGTTCTGGCTGATGAATCTTGAGGCCAACATCTAAAGGGCCACAGTTTTCCTACCCTCCATCTAAATTCTCTAAAATTTGAAGATGCTCCTTCCAATCTCAGAGCCACACAGCATTTGCGGTTAAAGTTTAGATTTTCTCAGTTGCACTAGGTAGAACTGCCTTTCCCCTCCCTGGTTTGACAAAATTTAAGAATGCCGTATATGGTTCATTCAGCTTCAAGCTTCACAGCTTTTATGTGGAGAGGACAAAGTTAGCATTCTCTATATCAGCTTTCCCAACCTGGCACACTCCAGATATTTTGCACTGCAACTCCCATCATTTTCTCCTTCTGGAAGGCACCAGGTTGGGGGAGGTTCCTTTCTAGTTTATTAATGGTGTTGCATGGCTATTCAATATTGCCCAAAGCCCCAGGTACCAAATTTCCCTCTAATCATTCCCCCTAGAGCTCCAGGCCTACTTTGATGCTCTCAGCTTCCTGGAGATTTGCCAGTTTAGTTTATGGCCTAGGTATGTATGGTATTGGGATTACATTTGTTGCTTGTATCAGTTATCTTCTCATAGAACTTGATGGAGGCAATTGTACCTTATTGATCTTATTCCATTTTCCAGCAGCATTTGTTATCATTGATTAGAAGAAGCTGGTGACATGAGATTCGGTTCACATTTATGGGATTACTCTCTTGTTCCTAGATGGATGATTCTAAAAGGTTATGATAGGTATTTATTTGTGGCTCTGAAGTTTTCTTTTTAGTACTGCAGTATGATCAGTATTAAACATATTTGCTGAGTAGGGTGTTAGCATTTAACAAGTTGAATAATGTTGTTTAATGTTGTTTCCAAAGAAGAGATAGACTAGCTACTTATGTAGAGCTGGCCTAAGACATGTTGCTGCCTGGGACCAAATAAAAATAAATATGATGCACAATGCACTATTATCTCAAGGTTCACAGTACCCAAGGTCAGCAAATTTAGCAGAAGGCAGGAAACACCACAAGTACCTATCCTCCTCCAAGCAAGAACATTCTAACAATAGCCATAGATGCAATAGTTTGCAGTTTGCTGCCCTTTAATGGCAATCAGAATCTGCTACTGGAAATTGTCTTACTTTGTGTAGTGTGAAGGCTGCTATGTGACATTAACTGTATTTTGCTCAAGGAATGGGGTTCCACAAAAGCCTCATAGGGAGTCTGCGAAAAATCTCAAAAATCAAATTTAAAATGGGTTTTAAAATTAAAACACATGAGGCCAACTATTTGATTGTCAGTCGGTGTCCAAGCAGCAAACAAGGAAATGCGTCACATCATTTGGTTCCTAGGACTCTATTGTGTAGTGTTGGGGATCACTGGAAGGACTCATTTGGGATATTACCATATAATTGCTTTATTCATTTGTTATATTTAAAATGTTTCTTCTATATTTCCAAACCTACGATGTTATGGAAAGCATTCAGGCAATAGCAGATGAAAGAAGGAAGAAGGTTGTGGGTTCACTGTGCTTAGTAACAATCAGGGATGGAGTTAGGGTTCCGCAGGAAAAAAACGGTCTTCAGAAAGGTTCCATGACTGAAAAAGCTTGGGAACTGCTGCTCTAGAGAACCTAAATACTAGGCTTTTGGAGAGTTACTGTGTGTCAAGAGTGTCTGTTTCAGTTCTTGAAGCCATGCAGGATTTTGCATTTTTCCTTCTAAATATCATACATTTCATTTTCATTCTGGGATTTTAACCCATAAAATATAATCCCCAAATATGTATATCAGTGTATCAATACATATGTATTGGCATGTATATGTATGACAAGTTTTTTGTGTGTGTGCATACACACTCTTATAGTTTATGTGTACATTCATGCGTGCACACACAATTATATCCACTTAATTGCATTGAAGTGTTTACGCAAATACTGTATTCTGCTTCTTAGGAATATTAATTAGTGTTCATCTTTTCCAGAATGATTTGACTAGGATGAACATGTTATCAGATCTAGAGAAGAACAGAGTGCCTGGATCAGTTTTTAAAAGATTGAAATAAGGAGTGTTTGATTATATTTCATGCAAGTATAATGGTCTGGAAAGAGTGAGAGCTGACAGCTAAAATCTCCATGTTTAGATGCTTGTATACCTCTGACTGCCACATGCTTGGGCCAAGCATAGGCGATCTGCTACTGGCTATTTTTTTTTCAGGTCCTCTAACAGGGCCTTTAGACGTGCTGTTGGCAAGATCAGCGTCCTGGCCCACTTTCAAATTAAAGTCTAGCAATTTCACCCCTCTGGGGGCGGGGGGGAAATAGTAATGATTATGCGAGGCAATTAAACATATGGCTACAAGAGTGAATGCAAGCGAAGGAGCACAGTGACACGTGGTATTTTCCGAAACTTTGGAGCAGGAAGCTTGCAATAAATGGCGGGGAGGGCTTCTTGCAGAATACCGTTGTTTACAAAGGCTGCAACTGCTCCGTTCTGAAAGTGATCGCAGGGCGAACTTTTTATTTTTATGCGCTCAAGGGAAATCGCGGAATACCAAACACCGGAAAGGCGAACACCGGAATCGCCACTTCCTTTCGTCGGCTCTCAAATTCGCTTCCAGTTTCATTAACAATTAACAGGACGAAAGCGGAGTAGTACTTTTTAAATGTGTGTAACCTCAGAAATCACCCCGAAAGTTTATTTCTCCTGCCGAGCTGCATTGCTTCCTCTTTGTGAGTAGTTCCTGCTACAAAATCGCATTTTAAAAAAGGGTTGGAGTTAGGAGAGGCTCCAGTCTAAACTCTCTCCTAAGTTACTTTGGTTGTATATTGGTCAGACACAGGAGAGCGGACAGCAAGCCATTAAATAAAGAAGTTTGCTGTAAATAAAATACCGGTTTTAACATGTGTTCTTTAAATGGCAGAATTTCCGTACCTCTTTTGGATTTCTTGATTCCTAAATTTTACAGTGCAAATACAAAGCGATCCCTTCGTCACTTTTATTACTCTCGGCTTCCTATCCAGCCCTCGTATTGGGGGAAGAGAGTTGGCGAGAGCTTTCTAATGTGCAAATAACATTTTTGAAGAGGGATTTTTTTTAAAAAAAATGAAATGACTGTTTCTTCCTATTGCTTTCAGTGACGCTTCTTTCACGCCCCCACGCCATTTCGTCCACTGAATCGTTTATGGCTTTTTCAAAATCTCCCTCCTTCAGTTGCCTCAGTTTTGCACGCCTCCCTGTTTATTTTCCAGCTCTGAGACTGGTTCTGTTCCCCCCCACCTTAATATTTTGTACGATGCCAAGCTTGGGAGTTTTCACATATTCGCCTCCCCTTTTCTGACTGCAGCCTCCCTCCCCAGCCCCATCAGAGGAAATATTACAATGTTGCAAGCTGACGTAAGGACATTACAAGGAAAGGGCTACATTTCGGAGTGTTTATGAAAAGCCTCAGTACTGTACTGTCACCAGGGGGCATGCAATAGAATGCATTTCGTCCAACATTTGGAATAATGATCATTTAGCAACCACCGCGACCACCACCACTACGACCAAAAAAAATAAAAAATAAAAAAGCTCCAGTGAGCTTTGGAGCCCGCGCCAAGCAGAGGAGCCATGCAGCCAAACTTTCAGGAACCCCTTGGTTATTTTTCTGACATTGCGAGCTCGCCCTTGAGGATGGCTTATTGAATTCTCCGGGTTTTGTTTTGCGCTCTAAAAAAATCCTTTCCACCTCTCCTGCCGCCTCTGGCCCTGGCAGATTTGCTTTCCTTCGGCAAAAGAGGAGAGAAGCAGGCAAGCTACCTAGCAGCAAAGAAGCCGCAGCAAGACGCCCTGCCTTCTTGCTTGTCTCCGCGCTCGCTCGCTCGCTCGCGCTCTCTCTCTCGCACACACGGCTCGCTTGCCTTGGGAGTCCAGTGTTGTTTTGAAGGGAGCTAACATGGCGACGGTGCCCGTCTATTGCATCTGTAGGCTGCCCTACGACGTAACCCGCTTCATGATCGAGTGCGACGCCTGCAAGGACTGGTTTCACGGCAGGTAACACAAAGCGATCGGGCCTTTCCCCCCGCTCTGGGGCAGAGATCCCCCTCCTCTCGCTTGGGGCCTTTCTCCTCTGCTGCTCGCCGGGGCACCGAGCGCGAGCGAGGGAGCGAGCGAGCAGCCAGCGAACGAGCGAGCGAGCGAGGGAGAGATGGTGGGCTTGGAGCTGCCTCCGCCGCCGCCGCCGCTCTGTGCAGTTTTCCAACAGGCCTTTTCGGAGAGGAGGAGGAGGAGGAGCCACTCGCCCTTTTCCCTCTCTTGTATTTTTTTTGTTTTGTTTTGTTTTGTAAATTGTCGAGCCCGGGCGCACACAATGGGCGCCCCCCCTCACTGGGGCTCCGGTGTCATGGGGCTGCGGGGGGTGGGGGAGAGCTATTGTCCTTTCCTCGGGGAGGGGAGGGCTGGCTGGCTGGTGCCGAGGGGTGGCCTTAAAAAAATCGTCATTCTTATCCCTACGTTTTTTGGCTTCTGCTTTTTGGCCCGCGGCCGAGCCCCCCGTGTGTGTATAATGGGGGAGTCGCGGAGAAGATTTAAGGTTGGACCCCCCCTTCTCACTTTCTCCGGAGAAGGCATGGGGAGCGCGGGAGGCGGGTGGGTGAGGAGCGCGGTTCCACAATGTCTGGCTAAGCGAGAGCTGCCAGTCAGCCAGCCAGCCAGCCAGCCACGGGGAAGGGCTGCTGCGGGCCGAGCGGCAGCCCCTCGGGCTCTGGCGGCAGAGGCGGCTGCCGCGGAGTCCGGCTGCCGGAGTGCCCTCTCCCCGCGCCTCTCCCGCGCGGAGAGGCGGCCACTCGCCTCGAGGCTCCCGCGGGAGGGGGCAGCTGGGGGTGTTTCCTCGCCTGATAGGCACACACTGGGCGGGCGGGCGGGCGGGCGAGCGGAAGGGTCCCGAGTGGAGACGGAGCCTGGGCGCTACACGGGGCGGGCGGGAGAGCGAGCAAGCGCGCTGGGGCTGGGGCTGGGCAGGGCTTCCCCCAGAGAGGAGCCGACAGGCGGGCGCAGGGAAGGGAATCCCCCGCCGCGCGGGCTCCAGGAGCCCGAAGCGGGCGCCTCTTCGCCGCCTCGGCCAGCCTGTGGCGTGGCACCCGTGAAGCGCCGGAGCGCTGCCTGTGGCCGGAAGGACTCGCTCACACCACGGGGGGGAAGAAGGGGGACGACGGAGGCTTTCCCCTGCGCGAGCGCCCGAGGGAGAGCTGCCTTGCAGAGGCGCCCGCGGAGGCTGCCACGTCCTCCTCTTGCACTTTCGAGGTCCCCTGTTCTCCTCTCCTTCATTGCTGCTGCTGCTGCTGCTGCTGCTGCTGCTGCTGCGGCTGCTATTTAAAAAGAAGCGTAGGGAAGCAATGCTGCTCCTCTCTTCCCGCAGATGGGGATCCGCAGAAAGGTTTGGGCTTCGCTGCAGCGCTCTAGGATGGCAGCGGTAGCGGCGGCTGTGTAGAAGCAGCAGCAGCAGCGGTGGCGGCAGCAACTGCAAAGATTGTTTTAATTCTCCTTGTCCTCCGACGACTATGGAATGTGAGACAATGTAACACGGAAAGGCTGGAAACTCCCTCGGCCAGACGTTCAGCTTCTGATTTGTATTTGATGTGTCCAGGAGGGGGGCGCGGAGGAGGTCCTCTCCCACCCTTACGCGACGCGCTTTTGTCGTGCTTCTCGGCTGTAATTATCGCTTCACCTCGCCCGAGCGGCTCCGATTGTCCTGCTGTAGAGCAAATGCGATGATCCCGATCTTTGTGGCTCGCCTTGGAGGGCTTGTGTTGCATGCGGAAGGCGGGCGAGTCGTTCATAAAAAATCGGAGCTGCAGGGAAGACGCGGGCTGGCTGGCTGGCTGGGGGCGTTGTGTAGATTTCACCTGGATTTCCAAACAGTCATTCTTAAGCAGAGGGAAAAGGAGATCTGGTGTGCAAACCGAAAGACCTTGGATACACGCAAACGGCATGGCAAGAGAACGGGCCTTCTCGCTGTGAGAGATGGGACTGCCCAAGTTAAGCGCCTTTATCAGCCTTTGATTCGTGTCCGCGTGTTTCCCTCCTACAAATCAATCGGAGGTGAAAGTGTTTAATGTCGTCCGGGTCAGAGCCCGTGTTAGGGATGGGGCAGGAATTTAGCCTCGGATCTGTGCGGAGGCTTCTCTGTTAAATAATAATCGTCTGGCTTCTTTAGTGAAGGAGTACTTCCTTGCAACGTGGTTTCTTGAGAGTAGCAGAGGAGGTATCTCGGCTGGTTGGTACTCATGAAACTCAATTTCAGGGACAAGGATGATTGCCTCCCGGCTGAGGAATAGAGAAAGTAGCTTTAAATGAACTGACTTGACAACTCTGTGATTGCCTTCTTGATGTTTAATACTTTTACATTAGCCTGTAATGATGTATTTATTTTATGGCTTTGACCATCACTGTGTTCTGTGAATTGTTTACAGAAAGTGATAGCTTCTGGTGCGATCTAGTATGATCTGATCTGATCTTTAACAATAGTTAGAGAGCCAGTGTGATTAAGAATTTGTTTAAAACTCACAATAAAACAAAGACAAAATAGCACAATGAGTTTAAACATCAGCAGCAGTGCTATTGCTTGATTTTGCCTGCTGCCCTCTAACAAAAGATTCCCAGAGTGGCTTACACAATAGAAGACGCTAAGAGCAATAAGTACAACTATTTAAGGATCCAAAATTCCTGGGAGAAGAGGCAAAGCTTTGCCAGGCTCTGATTAGGTACTGTGAGCCCCAGGAGAGCTGCAGGAGAGGCCCTTTCATGAACACACCACTGCAAAGTTGAAGGCAGCCTGATTTCATTCAGAGGGAGCAATTGGTGAAAGGCCTCTGAAGATGACCTAAGAGTACAGGTAGGAGCATATGGGGGGAGATTATTTCCTTTAGCTAAGTTGGTCCCAAGGCTTTAAAAGTCAACACTGACGATTTAAATGAAGTCCAGAAACATGATCATGTCGATCAATCCCAATTAGTTGCCTAGCAGTTTTTTTGTGGATTAACTAAAGATGCCAAACTGTTCTCTAAGCTTGCTCCACATCTAGTGCATGGCAGTAATTCAGCTAGAAGGGTACCAAAATTCAGGTGGCTGTCAGCAAGTGCTCACTGTCATAGCTGCTGTATCAGCCTAAGTTGATGGAAGGCACTCCTAGGAACTGGGGCCACCTGTGTCTCAAGTGACACCCACAAACTGTGTGAGGCTAGTTGAACATCACTGAGATAGGCTGATGAATCACCTGCAAATCATACCTCTGCCTTGTCTGAAATGAGCTTCAGTTTATTGGCCTTATCTAGTCCATGATATGCTGGCATACCAGTTCAGGACATCCACTCTCTCACCTGTATTCAATGAAAAGGAGATGGAAAGCCAGTTTCATCTCTGTGCAGCCCTCCTTCCCCAGAGGTTTCATATAGATATTCAATAGCATGGCAGAGAAAACTTATCCCTGCGGAATCCTATGATGTAATTGCTATAGAACTGTGTAGTAATCCCACTGCACCACCTTCTAAAACTGGCTGTATACATAGGAATGAAACCACTGTAAATCAGTACCTCTAACTCAGGGCCACCAACTGGGGTAAAAAACAGTGGGGCACATAATAAACAAAAAGTAGAAGTAAAATGCCACCAGCAAAAAAAAAAACAAAAAAAATCAGTAAAGAACTAAGGGCTGTAAAATAACTTTAAATGCTTAAGTAAACTTAAAAGGGCTTTGATTGGTCCCCAAAAGACTGTATCTTAGCCTTTTTGCGGGTGCAAGGGATTCCAAAAAAAAAAAGGCCCTTTCTGTTGTATCCTTTGCGTCAGGCAGGTAGAAATGTGCACACTGTCTGGAGTGCCTTGGAGGAAAGGCAGAATATAAGTTTATTAAATACTTATCTTTGTATTATATTTAGCTTAAGTTTTTGTATGTTGACAAAAATTACATACAAATCTTTCTTGCTTTGCATCATCTGTCTGATGTATATGTACAAGATTGCTTGACTATTGAGCAATAAATTAACTAACTTAAGAAGAAACAACAGCAAGCACTAAGCCATATGAAGAAAACTAAAGAGATCAAAAAAAAACCCTAAAGAGATCAAAACTTCAGTAGCCTTGAAGTAGTAAGGGTGCAATCCTGACAGAAGCAAACTTGGTATTATCTCTACCCCATTTACTGCTGGTAAGATATGTTGACTCCTGACTATCCAGGAGATCTGGGTTCTAGTCCCCACTCATCCCCGAAACTTGTCAGGTGACTTTGGCTCAGTCACAAACTCTCAGCCCAACCTACCTCACAGAGATGTTGTTGGGAGGATTAAAACTGGAGCTGTGTAAACTTCCTTGGCTTCCTTACAAGAGGAAAATGTGGAATATGCATGCAACGCAATAATAATATTAATAATAATAAAAAATACTGGCGGCAGAAGCACTCTTCACTTCCTCATCTTCTTACCTTGAATATGTCATTTGACAAACTTTTTTGCCCACTTACCTGGGCTCTTTCAGAGGGGGAAGGAAAAAGCCTGGAGGGGCCTCAGATAGTAGAAAGGACATGATACAAGCTGTCCTCTCCTTCCTGTCCCCTAAAATGCCCCTGTTATCTTCTCTTGGAGATTAGTGTCCAGCCTTGGATCTGGGAATCCTAAATAACCTATGGCTTCTCAGATGCTGTCTAGAGGCTGTAATATTGCTTTCTGAGTCATTTTAAACTATTAAAGGCTTTTTCATATGCTATAGTTTGTGACAGGATGACCTCAGCCCATTCCTATGCAGGGTTGGGTGCACCAAAGCCCACTGGTCTCATTAGGGTTAGACTCTTGAAGCAAGATAAGACCACGCTGCTTGTAGACAGCCTAAGAACAGAAATTGGACACAGCAGGTATTTATTTATTTATTTGGGGCATTTCTATCCTGTCCTATACAAATGTCTCAGCATGGCAATGCAAAACAGTACGGTGGCCGCATACAAAAATATAATATAAATATCCAATAAAACAGTTCATACTTAAAATATATTTGTGAGCCGCCCC